GAGACAGGGTCTCCCTGTAGCCCCAGATGTCCTGGAACTCACTATGTAGACCAGGCTAGCCTTGAACTCATAGAGACCCCCCTGCCTCTGCCTCCCAAGTGCTAGGATTAAAGGCGTGCACCACCACACCCGGCTTTCCTCTCTATTTTTAAATATTCAGGTTAATATTGAGGCTTACTGAGTTTAATATACATAGAACAAAGTTTACTTTGCTATAGACAGAAATAGATCTAAAAAATCTTTGTGTGTGTATGTGTGTGTATTAAGTTAATTTCTATTTTAAGTACATTGGAATATCCTGTTTATCATAATATGACATAGATAAGTAAATGTAAGGTAAATAATTCCATCGTTAATCTAAGTTCCCTATAACTGACTGCTAAACCAGAGGGAAAATGTTTTTCTGTGCCCAGTATTAACATTAATGTCTTACAAGATCCCATGCATTGGGTAAAGATTTTTAAGCTTTTTGGATCCCAGCTCCCCTTGCAATAAAGGGTATAATAACCAATAAAGGGTCTTTTACGAGTAAATAAGATAATAAGTACGAAAATCCTGGTGCACAGTCTAGTTTTCTGACTTTTTGAGGTGACATCTCAATCAAGTGCAAACACTTGTTTCTTTTATCTGTTCTACCCAACATCTACAGTATTCTCTACTGAAATTCTTGGCTGCAGAACCATCCTTTCTGTGTCCTGACTAAGATTATCTTAATTAAAAAACAAAACAAAACATAGTCTCGGGGCTAGAGAGATGGCTCAGTGTTTAAGAACACTAAGAGTTCTTGCAGAAGACCCGGGTTCAAATCCCAGCACCCACATGGCAGCTAACAACTGTCTGTAACTCCAGTTCCAGGGGTTCCAACAGCCTCTTCTGGCCTCTGCAGGCACTGCGCGACATGGGTGCACTTACCTACACACAGGCAATACATGCATACACATAAAAATAATAAAAATATTTTTAAAAAATCATAGTCTCTTAATCCGTCACACTTAAACTTCAGTCAAGAAAACAGTAAATTCTGAATGTTCTGGCTTTCTCACTTTACAGGTTGAATTATAATGCCCTCTACCATAGTTTCCAGTATAAATATTCTGACTTTTAAAAAAAGGGGGGGCTGGAGAGATGGCTCAGAGGTAAAGAACACTGAATGTTCTTGCAGAAGACCCAGGTTTGAATCCCAGCACCCACATGGCAGCTAACAACTGTCTGTAACTCCAGTTCCAGGGGATAGGACAGCCTCTTCTGTTCTCTGTGGGCATTGCATGACATAGGTGCAGGCATAACACTCATACACATTATTATTATTATTATTATTACAGCTTTTTATTTAAATATTTGCAAAACATAGTTCTATTAATGTCTTAGAGCATTTGAGAAAAATATCTGACTACCATGAAATAATGCTTTCTAAGCAGTGTAGACTGCTGTTCACAGAAGCTCTCTCTTGATTTTTAAATAAATTCTTCTCTCTGACAGCTCTAAGGAGAAGACAATGAAAAACTGTGTGACAGACAAGGGCCCTGCATCAAAAGTCAATGCTGAGGTTGACACCAGGATTGAAGCAGGTCAGTGTGGTCTCTGATCATAAAATAACCAAGACATTCGGTTGTCTCTGCTGTCATAGCCAATCTGGGGTAGAATGAAGATAAGTAATTGTGAAAGCACAGATCTGAAGCAAGTCCAAGATTTACTGGTTGTATTTTCTCTTTCTCACTGCCGGAAGGAACCTGTGTTATATCAGGTATAGCCCAGGACCTTTCAAAGCACAAGCTGTACTCAGAGATTTCAGTTTCATTCACATCACCCTACATTATTTGTACACCCTAAAAGTACATTACCCATCCTCACAGGCTACTGGACATTGATTGCTAATGTGATTGATTTCCTTAGTCAAAGACTCATGACTCATCTGCATCTACTGCAGCTCACACCCTGGGCTTCCTAGGCTTCCCAGCTACAGAATCTCCTGTGTTTATGTTATATAGTTTGCCTCCTTTTGTATGAGCTGAATTAGACTTTATTAATACCATATCATGTCATTAGTACACACAAAGATTCACTCCATGAGATAAAACGCCCTAAAAAAGTATACACTCTTTTTAAAATATATATATATTTTATTTATTATTTTTATTTTTATGTGTATAAGTGTTATGCCTGAATATAGGTAAGTGCACCCATGTTGTGCAATGGCCACGAAGGACAGAAGAGGCTGTCGGATCCCCCGGAACTGGAGTTACAGACAGTTGTTAGCTGCCATGTAAGTGCTAGGATTCAAACCTGGGTCTTCTGCAAGAACAGTCAGTGTTCTTAACCACTGAGCCATCTCTCCAGCCCCCAAAAGTATATACTCTTTACTGAGAATAACTGTTTTAGTAGACAGACACTCATTTCCAAAGGTTTGGGGAGCACGAGTGTTGGTATTCCAGTATGATTAAAGTGGTTATGTCCTGTTAATGGCTATGCCACAGGCAAGGAGAAAACTTTACATTAGAGAAATTGCATCACATGCATCCTTGTGCTTTAACCTGGCGTGCTCAGGCCAGTTAAATGAGATGACCTTTCAAGGTGTCTGTACCTTCAAAAGATCTACTCAACTATATACAAACTAAAAAGCAGATTTCCTAAATCCCAGCAGTAACTTTAATAACTTTAACTTGGGTGTGTAGTTTAGATGTTAAAGGGTTTCAGTTGCTTCGTTTTCCTGATGTTTTAATCTACCCGTGTGACCATATATTAA